ATAAATTATTATTCCCACTTCTTGTTTGTTGACTTATATTTTGTGCCTTCTTTCCACATGTATACACTTCGTTTTGCACCACCTGACCTGTCCATATTGGAACTATTTATTTTGTGTGCATTTTTTGTTAATGTATATTAGGGATTTTACGCTATAAAGTCGACTTTCAATCACTGCAGGCTGACGAACCATTGGAGGATGTTGACCTTGATGACTATTAAGCGAAACAACAAGATACACCTCCATTTCATCTCGAACCTATTTCTCACGTTGCTACAATTTATATATATACCATTAATATATAAATTCTTTTGCAACACACTCGGCAACAGCAAAGCAAAATTAAAAGTATATTACTGTAGTGATCATATGTAGCAGGTTTTTTTTTTGTGACTTTTTCGCATAAACTAATTTTAATACACTGTAAGAAATCAAATGCTAACACGAAATCAGTAGTTAAGTTAGTATTTCAGTTTGAGAATTGCAAATTTCGTCTACGCAATACTTTTTGTTTAGCTAAAGGCGTCATGATAACTTTTCGCAAATTCTTTGTTTTTAAATGTAGAAACGCAATAACAAATTCGATTCTTAAATTCACTTTTACAATTGGCGTGCAAACGTAAAACCAACAAACCAAACAAGAAATACACAGGAAAAAGGCAACGACCTCGTAAATGATTTATTGTCGCGTCAAAGGCCGCCTAGAAGTTGGTTTAATGAAAATGAAAACAATACTAATTATATTTATATGACAAAATACTAAACAAAAAAATAGTTAATGAGAGCCATACGTTCAAATTCAATTTAAATAAACCAATAACATTTAATAAATAATAATAAAAAAACCGAGAGTAAAAACGTAATTTATAAATACATACAAAACACCTGCATTACCTACCAACGTAAATAATAACACATAAATGCAGAAAAAAGTAATAAAAACCATACGTACACATATACAGTATATATACATGAATATATATTTCAACAAAGATAAATAAAAAGATGAATGCATTAAAGAATACAAAGTAAACCATTTACGTCTACAAAATTCTTGAACTTGCTTACATTCGCTCAGTTTTGAAAATTTGTTTAGATACAAAACAAAATAAAAAAAAAGTTCACTTCGGCAGCACCTATAAGCAGCACTACAATACCCTCCACAAATTAAAAATTTTTCATGCAAACAATTGTTGTTGCGCTTTTTATGTTCCGATGTTTTGTTTTATAATGTATTTTTTTAA